TACCCTTTCTTTCTTTTTTTTTTTTGACTCCCTACATATCTGAAAAAGGATTTTTGTTGTCCTTGATATGTGAAGCCAGGTGGAGCTCAGTTGCAGCCTTGGCTTTCCTGATCCACTCCCTGCAGGTATGGACCAGTGTTGAGTACTCCTCCTTGGTGGTAATTCCAGCCTTCCATCCTTTATAAGTCTCTCGTTTGAGGCGTAGGAGATCCTCCAGTTCTCTGCTGAGCCAAGGGGGTTGCTGTGCCCTTTTGCTCTACCCTTCCTCCAGGGTGGGATGGCCATCCCTTGAGCTGTCAGGATTGCTCCCTTGAGGAGCAACCACTCCTCTTGGACTCCTCTTCCTGTCAAGTCGTGGTCCCTTAGGGCCTCAACAGTGAGCCTCCTGAGCTTGTCAAAGTCAGCTTTCCTGAAGTTGAGGACTTCTGTATTGCTGACCAACTTGCCAGCTTTGCGATGGACAGTAAAGGTGATCAGCTCGTGGTCACTATCACCCAGCTTTCCACTGATTCTTAGGTCACTAACTAGGTCATCCCCTTTGGCCAGTACCAGGTTTAGCAATGCTTTATGTCTTGTTGGCCCATAGACTTCTTGAGTCAGGTACAGCTCGCTCATGCACGCGAGGAAGCTTTGTGACCTATCGGATTTGGCGAAGTGCTCTTCCCATGAGATGTCTAGGTAGTTAAAATCTCCCATGACAACCATGGACCAAGAGTATGCAGACTCAGCCAGTTACCTGGCAAATTCCTGGTCCAGCTCTTGTTTCTGGTTAGGAGGCCTGTAGTAGACTCCTACCATGATGTCCCCTGTGCCACGTTCCCCACGTATTTTAACCCAGAGGGACCCCAGTCATCCTTCCTGGGTGCCAATGTCAAATTGGAGGGACGTGTAGTTGTCCTTGACATAGAGCGCTACACCCAGATGTGTGTTAAAGGAATTAGGGGTGTCTGGTACTGGATGCAGAGCTTTGTTCACTTGAACACATTTTATAACCCTTTATCTCACATAAGACAGCCACAAATATGAGAGACTGAATTTAATTATGTCCAAACTCATCTTAAATTTGAAGGGCTGATTTATTTAAGTACTGCATTAAAGGGATAATGCAGATAAAAAGATAAACAGAAAATTCCACAGAATGTTTGTTTTTTTAAGCCTTTTCACTTCAAGAAGGAAAAAATACATAAAACCCCTCAGTGATGAAAATACTGCATTTTCTATCAACTGATTAGAATTTTATGTCTACTGTTTAAAAAATATATTACCTATTCTAGATGTGTTTTAACTAGTTTTTATCCCCGATACATAAGAAGTCGTGTTCCTTTACCATTTTTGACATAGTAAATACTAGGTCTAATCTGATATATTTAGTTTTTCAAATGTGCCAGGGGTAGGCAACATTTTTTGGCCAGAGTGCCGAAAAAAACTATGTCTACCTTGTGAAGTGCCAGAGTGCCAGCACGCCACAAAAACAAAATTGGGGCAGAGGGGGTACATGGCAGGATGCACTGCATATTTAATACAATTAATAATCATTAATGTTGCTTCTTTTTTTTTTAACAGTAAATAGAGAGCTGGTGTCAGGTGGGGAACGGGGGCTGCCACAGGGCTCTGCTACTCAGGCCACAGTGCGGGTCCCAGCAACACCAGAGGTGGGGCCAGCCGGCCTGTGCAGGTCTGCGGGGATGGGGCGCAGCCTGCCTGCCCATGAAGGGATACTGCCTGCCTGGGGCAGGACGCCAGGCCCAGGGAGCTCCCTGCTTGGTCTCTGTGCTAGCTGGGTACAGTGTGAGTGGGAGCTGCAGCCACAGGCTGTTCCCCAGCCTCTGGGAACAGCCGCCACAGGGGCCAAGCCGGCTGGGAGCCTGCAGCACAGCAGCTCTGCACAGTGCCTGCCCCAGCCCTGGCCCCTTGAGGAGAGCTAAGGTTGGCCAAGGTCGGGACCTGGGCAGGCTGAGGTAGCCGTGGTGGCTGTTCCCAGGCTCCAGGAAGCTCCCGTGGCCAGGCCCCTGCACTGGGGATGGCTCTGCCCTGCCTGCACTGTGCCCGGCGTGCAGAGAGGCCGATCCTGGAGAGGGAAGCCCCATGAGCCTGGAGTCCTGCCCCAGCCAGGCAGCATCCTCACTTGCACAGGGTGGCTGCAGCCCATCCCTGAGGAGCTGCACAGGCCAGGCCATGCCCCACCACAGGTGCTGCTGGGCAACCCCGCCTGCCGGCCCACCATAGCTCAAGCCTGCAGAGCCCCAGGGCTGCCCCCACTTCCTGCCCAACCCCTGCCTTCCTAAGGACCTGACTGGGCTGGCTTGCCCACGGCGCCTCCCTCCCACACCACCCAGACCCTGTCCTGACCGCCTGGCCCCAGCACTTGGCACCTCAGTGCTGCCCCGGCTGGGACAGGGTGTCTGCCTGCCTGGGCAGCTCCCTCCAGGGGCCAGCTGGGCTGGAGGGTGCAGTCTGGGAGCAAGGGGCGGGGGCAGTAGAGCACAGACAGCGTCCTTGCCTGCGTTCTCCTGGCTCTGCCCCAGTGCCTGCCACAGCACTGGGACTTGTGGCTGCACAGCCTAGAGCAACAACTTAAAAAAACCCAACAAAAAACAATTTCTTTGCGTGCCTCCTGGTGTGCTGGGAAAAATGTCTCCACGCGCCACTAATGGCACGCGTGCCGGGGGTTGCCGACCCCTGAAATATGCTAGAGTTTGTAAAATTTTCTTACTACTGTACAGGACACACTTAGGCTCAGTTATGAACAGTCACATACAAAATGCAGACCCATGGTAAGAAAATTAACCAAGCAATTTATGGTTTAATTCAATGATTCTCAATCAGGATGCCGAGGGATTTTTTTTAAGGGTGACAAAAGACCTACACATGATTTACAAGATAAACCCAGGGATTTCAAACTGGAATCCAGAGTGTTAAAAACATTCTGACCTGTTGTGGTCATTCTGAGTTCTTTGCAACAGAAGAATTGCTCAATGATTTTTCCATAGTGAGAACTAAGAGTTCGAATTTCTGAGGGGTGCCTTCTATAAAGGTTGTTAGGTATTACAACTACCTGAACTAGTAATAGCCACAATCCCAGATGCCTCCACTTTACCTGACAGTATTAAAGGTCTACACTAGACATTAACACATGCACAATTAAAATTGATAATATGGCTTTCCTAGTTGGATAACTTCAGCGCCACCAGCCTGCTAAAACCCATCTGGCTATGACACCTTACTTCATGATGGGAAAAGATTTATATTCAAAACAACACTTAATTCATTTGCTTACTTGGCCAGTTCCTGAAGAGTTGTTAAGAGCTCACTGGTGGTTTTGTGGTCTTTGGCTCCCAGGGAAGACATCAAAATATGGACATCATTGAAAATCAGAATGTGATCTTTCGTGTGCTGCTTTGTTAACTGGAGAACTTCATTCCACCTGTCTCCCAGCTTTACCCCTGGGAATCAAATTCATGATTTAAAACAATTTCACATGCAAAATATCATCATCACATGGCATATGCTTTATAGCAGGAGTTTCCAAACTGTACACAAGACATCTTGGGTGGGGGGAGGGGGTTACACAGGAGAAATTGCATAATGGCAGATTTAATTTTCGTTATAGTAATTGTCCCAGGGGAGCGGGGGCACTGGGAGACCCCCGCGGCGGCCAAGGGGTCTGCTTACCTCCCGCAGGGCCGGAGGA